AAATTAGCCGGGCATGGTAGCGCGCGCCTGTAGTTCCAGCTACTAGGAAAACTGAGGTGGAAAGATCACTGGAGCCCAGCAGGTCGAGGTTGCAGTGGCTGGGAGCAGCCACTATGCTCCAGTTTGGGTGACAGAGTGAGACTCCAACTCAAAAAAAAAAAAAAAGAATATATCAGGAGACTTTATATAACATCCTAGGACTTCTCTTGGAGAAAATAAAATGGGAAAACCAGGCAATAATAGGACTGAATCTCTGCTGAACAATTGGCTTCAGCTGGAAGTAGCTGCCAGTTTAGTAGGGGATGTGTGTGTACTCTTTGGGGTTTTCTTATATGTGATTCCTACAGTAATTGAGTTTTGAATCCTAGCCATGGTGTACGAGAAAGGACTTTTAAAATAAAGAGATATGGCTGGGCACAGTGTCTCATGCCTGTAATCCTAGAACTTTGGGAGGCTGAGGTGGGAGGATTGCTTGAACCCATGAGTTTGAGACCAGCCTAGACAACAAGGTAAGACCTCGTCTCTACAAAAAATAAAAGTAATTAGCTGGGCATGGTGGTGTGTGCCTGTAGTCCCAGCTACACGGGAGGCTGAGACAGAAGGATAGCCTGAACCCAGGAGGTTGAGGCTGCAGTGAGCTGTGATCATGCCAGTGCACTCTAGCCTGGGCACCAGAGTGAGACCCCAACTCAAAATAATAATAATAATAAATTTAAGGAGCCGCAAGCCAGGTACTGCGGCAATGCTGTAGCCCCAGCTTCTTGGGAGGCTGAGGTGGGAGGATCACTTGAACCCAGGAGTTCAAGGCTATAGTGAGCTATGCTTGTGCCTCTGCACTCTAGCCTGGGAGACAGAGTGCGACTCTGTCTCAAATATCATAATAAGGAGGTCAGACCGTGCTATTCTGCATAGACTCAGAGATCAGACTGCATCATGTTTTGCGAGACTTTTTTAGGAAGCCAACGCGGCGGTATTGGACACTAGCCTGGGCTGGGAAGAAAGGGGCTCCTTCTCTGTCCCTGCCCGCAGGCGTGGGGGCAGCTGACCCTTTCTCTCTCTGCAGGTGGCTCCGCTGCCGGATGGGAGCGCCCCGGCGTGTTGGATGAAGTCGGCGCATGCACCATGTCATCATGTGTCTCTAGCCAGCCCAGCAGCGAGCGGGCCGCCCCCCACGATGAGCTGGGGGGCGGGGGCGGCAGCAGCGACGGCCAGAAGCCCTGCGAGGCCCTGCGGGGCCTCTCATCCTTGAGCATCCGCTTGGGCATGGAGTCCTTCATCGTCGTCACCGAGTGCGAGCCGGGCTGCGCCGTGGACCTGGGCCTGGCCCGGGACCGGCCCCTGGAGGCTGATGGCCGAGAGGTCCCCCTCGACCCCTCCGGGGCCCAGGCCCGGCCCCACCTCTCCAGCCGCAAGCTGTCGCTGCAGGAGCGCTCCCAGGGCGGGCTGGCGGCCAGTGGCAGCTTGGACATGAATGGCCGCTGCATCTACCCGTCCCTGCCCTACTCGCCCGTCAGCTCCCCGCAGTCCTCGCCGCGGCTGCCCCGGCGGCCCACGGTGGAGTCGCACCATGTCTCCATCACGGGCATGCAGGTGCGTGAGCCAGTGCCCGCTGAGGGCCCCGGGGCCCTTCTCTGCTCCCAGTGGGATCTCCATGGTAGGTTGGGCTCCCCTCGAAGGATCTGAGTGCAACCGTGGACCGGGGAGGCGGGGAAGGAAGTCAGCAAAGGGTGCGTGAGGGGGCCAGGTACCAGTGTGGGCAGCTGGGGCTCGATCCTTCTAGGGAACCCTGGGGGCCAGCCTCAGACCCGTGCCAGAGTCATCTCACCAGGGGCTTGGGAGCTGGGATGTTTATACCCAAGCTGCCATCCGTGGCTGGTGAGGGCTGCTGGGGTAGGTGGGGGTGGGGGTGACTGCTCTGAATGTAGACAGCAGCTCCGGACCGGAGGGGAGCCTCCAGCAGAGGGATTCAGGGCTGGCAGTTGGAAGGCATGCTGGGCCATGGTGGGTCACTGCAAGCCCACATGGCCTAACCCTTCTCATGTAATTCTTTCTATAAGCTTTGGTGGGAGCAGGATTAGAACTCAGACCTCTCCTGGGGTTCGCAGGGCCCCACGGGATGTGCTCCTTCTTCCTATCCCTCTGTTCCCATTCCGCCAGGTTCTCTGGATCCCTCCATCTTTACATTCCTTAGTTCCAAGCTCCTACCCAACTCAAGGTCATTCCTCTTTGCTGTCTCTTCTGCTTGGAGCTACCCCCCTCCCCCCAGCAACTCTGCAAGGCCGTCTCCATCTGATGTCCGTGTCTCAACTCCAATATCACCTCCTCCGAAAGGCCTCCCGGATCCTCCTGCCTGAGGCAGCCCTGTGGCCCCATTGCTTTCCTTCATAACACTCACCAGCATCTGATTATCTCTGAGTTTGTTTAGTTGTTTATTGCCTGGGTCCCCCAGCTAGAGTGTAAGCTCTATAGGAAAGTCTCATCACCACTGTGTCCCCAGGGCCTAGCAGAGTGCCTGGTGCATAGTAGGAACTTGAAAATGATTGTTGAAGGAGTGAATACATTTAATTGGAAGAAGACTCAAAATCAGAATGGCTTTCTTTTTTTCGAGTCAGAGTCTCACTCTGTCTCCCAGACTGGAGTGCAGTGGCTGCTCCCGGCCACCGCAGCCTCGACCTGCTGGGCTCCAGCGATCCTTCCGCCTCAGGCTTCCAAGTAGCTGGAACTACAGGCGTG